TATATATATATATATAGGCCACGTCAGAAGATAAACGGCTGATAAATTATTTCTCTTATCTTTCTTTTCCTTTTTTACTTTATATTTCCTTTTTTCGATAAATATTTATTTTGCGCGTTAATTTGTACAAGTGTAGGTTGGCACTGTAACCCCGTCAAAAAAAGTTATGTGGAAAAGGTTCGAGAATTTATCTTTTACAAACTTCTACGTAATTTAATATTAATTTTAAAAAAGGTACAAAAATTAAAATTATATTTATATAAATAATATGCTTGTCGAATAATTTGAAAGTAAAATGATATTATTACTAATTAAAATATTAGTAATATTACTATTACTTTCAATATTACTAAATAATACTAAATATTTATTCTTCGTATTAATTTGAACAATTGTAACACGTATTTTATTAAAAGTTAAATTTAATTTAATATTTAATATATTTAATATATTTAATATATTATTTATAATATATTCATCTAATAATTTGAAACCAAAATGATACCATTACTCTATTAAATATTACTAAATAATACCAAATATCAAATTTATATATATTACAATTGAAAATAGAGAAAAATAAAAATTGCAAATAATTATTAATAATTGATTGTTTTGTTTCAGTGTATATTATTGGCAGTCCGTACTATTCACGTCATGTTGCGTTATGTGATTCACCTGTATGACACGCGAGGTGCCGGTACATCTTCTCAACGTTCATGGGACAAACGTGGACCCTTGACCTATTACACGGATTTGACGTCAGAACTGGCTGCATTGGCTGTTGATTTCTGTCATCACATTCACATGTTACTTTGGAGCAACATTTTTCTTAGTATGGCATCCTTGGTCATCTGTATGCAACTACGTTATCTGTTTTATGAGATCCAACGAAGAATTACTAAACATAGGAACTATCTTGCTGTACTAAGTCACATGGAACAAAAGTATGCACTTACATTTGTATATGATTTTTTAATTTTTTTTTTTTATAATAATTAATAGAAAAGAAAAATCATTAGTTTTACATCTCGTTTGATATTCTATTTGAACAATTTTGGAAGAAACACAGTCGAGATTTAAAGTAAAGTTCATAATCATTTTATTCTATTTATTATTTATAGTTTGATCAATATCTCGACTGATACTTAAAGTCACCCTTTATATAGATATCTTTATCCCTTTTACTAATACTTCCCTTGCTTTTTCTTTTTTCTTTTTTTATCTACTTGACAGAAATCAAATTCAACACATCTATTAAAATGATACATCAAAATTGTGATCAGAGTAATAATCATTTTTAATAAAAATAAAATATTATTTGTTTCAGTTATCCAATGGCAACGCAAGACGAATTGGCAGATAATTCAGACAATTGTGCAATTTGTTGGGAAAAAATGGATTCGGCTCGTAAATTACCTTGTGGACATTTGTTCCACAATTCTTGTCTACAGTCATGGTTGGAACAGGACACGTCATGTCCTACATGTAGGTTGGCACTTAGTATGCAAGCCAATCATAGGGAGAATTCACCTGAATTACCGTTAGAACCACAAACCCCAACAAGAAGGAACGATAATCATTTCTTCCATTTCGATGGATCCCGATATGTTTCTTGGTTACCAAGTTTTTCTGTTGAAGTCTCTCACAATCGTGTACGCGGTAATATTTTCACCTCGACTCATAGTAATTCTCAAATGGATGCAATGGCTAGACAGGTGAGTTGTTGTATGAAACATTCATTCCAGTATTTAAAATTAAAACAAGTTTTAATTAATTGTAAAAATCATGAATGTTAAATCAAAGCGAATCATGATTTTCAATTGAAGATAACACAATGCGTTATCTTCATATCTGTTTACATTTTCATTAGTCGACAGAAGTAGCATCAATATTACATGATCGATAAATCCTAATGAAAATGGTATTTGCAGGTACAACAGCTCTTTCCACACTATCCGCACAATGTGATATTGGAAGATCTGAGAATTACACGATCTGTCGAATGGACCATCGAAAACATACTAGACGGTGTGTTGACTTTACCTCATCACTTGATCGAGGAACCCCAAGCAGAATTCGTCTCGCAAACGCAAACGTCTACTGTACACATCGTTCCCACTCCTTCGATTCAAAACACTTCAGATCCAAGGCTTGACATTCCTATTGCTGATAGGTGAATGTTTTATGAACTTAATTTATTACTGTTATAGTGAATAATATTTTTCTATTTTTGTATCTATTAAAAATTGACAAGTAATGTATTATACAAAGATGAATCTGAAATGTATTTAAAACAATCCTTTAAATATTCATTATGAAAAAAAAAGAAAAAAAACCAAACAATTTATCTTAACAGATATCTAAATTTCTAATTTAAATTGTAAAATCTAAATACGTTTAATTGGCCTAATGAATAAAAATACGACGATTTATCTTTCTATTACATACATATTTTACTAAGAAGAATAATTAATTTTATTTTATTTTTTTATTTTTTTTTTTTCTAGCGGAGAAGAACCATCCAATCTTGGCGGACGTTTTTCGAAATCATCGATCGAAAGGGAATTAATTCTTCAACGTCGTAAGGAACATATGCGTATGACGGCACGTAGAAAGTATCTTGAAAAATATCGAAAAGATTCATTGCCGACATCATCGTTTGTATCATCACCGTCGTCATCGACGTCATCCCCGTCATCATTATCATCATTATCATCATTATCACAATTATCATCACCATTATCACTGTCGTCGTCATTGACAAATGAAGAAACACCAATTGTAACAACAACAACAACATTATTAACAACGACGACAACTACGACGATAACGACGACGAGTTTGCAAGATAATCGATACGTTGTTGATGAAACTATGTCTTAGAAAACGGGCAAATTCATTTAACGGATATTTATCTTTTGAAGAAGCAGGTCAAAGAGAGATTTGAGGAGAGATTTATACTTGACAGAATGTGAGCTAAACTCTCCTTTAAAAAAAAAGATAATATATACAACATATTATTAGTTTTGTCTCTCCGATTGATGAGAGATAAAGAAAAATAAAAAGAAGAGAAAGAGAAAAGAGAGTAAAGGGAGACGAACACACATACGAAATGTTATGAAATGAAATGAAATGAAATGAAATGAAACGAAATGAAATGAAATAAAATGAAATGAAAAAAGAGACGTGTGTGTATGATAGGATTCTTAGACACACGATCGATTGAAAATTTCCAAATTGGATTGATATTAATAGAGTGGTAATATAATAATATTTTATCACCTTATTGCGAGATAATTATGGGATTTCTTATATTTATACTAATTACCGTTTATTTTTTTGTTTTTTTTTTCTGCCGTTAATTTAATTATCGGCTAACTTCTAACGTTTGTTTTTTTATTTTTTTTTTATTTTGTAGTTTCTTAATTTCTTCCTTCTTCGTTCTTTTATTATTTTTATTTATTTATTAATTATGTTTTTTTTTCTTCTTCTTCTTTCTATCTTTGGATAAATTATTATTACTATTATTATTATTATTATTATTATTATTATTATTTTGTTTCTTTTTTCGAATGGCAGTACGATGGCAAATATGTTAAACAGACGAAAGTACTTTGCCAAATGACTGACGACGATGACTAATGAATATGTAAATGTCGAGAGAAGATATATAAAAAAAAAAAAAAAAAACATGAAAAATAAAATCCTACGAACCGGTTTTTAAATACGGTGTTTGATCTAATCCATTAGTGATGAGATTAGAATGATGTTTTCCTTATTTATAATATAAGATTGATTGATCATTGAAAATCGTGGCGTGATTCATTTATTTTTTTTCCCGACGATTTTATCCAACTATTACTATTACTTACTTTACGTTCTATGCTTAAGCATCGATGATACTTTTAATTTTTCTCTTATTATTAGTTCAAGAAAATATTAATGTCTTTCTTTTTTTTTTTTTTCTTTCTTGTGATGATAACAATTAATAATTTTATTTGTCTATTTTTCTTCTTCTTCTTCTTGTTATTTTCTTCTCTTTTTTCTTTTTTCTTCTTCTTCTTCTGCTTTTACGTTTTTGTGTTTCACGTTTTGTTTTTTTATTCGTACAATTATAAAATTAAGAGTATCATATTTATTAAAATAGGAAGGATACGTTTTAATACAGCATTTAGGGTAATGTTCCATGCGCTGAAATAAACTTGATCAGAAATGAGTCTATTAGCTTATATACTCGCTTTCGAATATGATGATCGTCCTTACATGTCTCAAAACAATACATACTTTATTATTCATCATTCTCTCTAGCTTTCTCCTTATTCAGAAACTCGTTAAAATTAAACAAAAAAAATATTTAAAAAACAAAAAAAAAAATAATAATAAAACTTCCTCCCCCGCCCCCCAAAAAAATATATGAGAAAAAAACAGGCCGCATGTCAATACGCTTTTCGATGTTTTCCTTAGATCAATTTGAAAAGGTACATTAATGTCAACAATGTATGTGTATTGTGTGATCCATATATATATATCTTGTATATGCAAGGTGGTTTATAAGTATTATTTTAATTAACATTTTAATTGTGTGTGTGTGTGTGTGACAAATATAATAGATGATTTAAAAAAGTAATTAATTGATCATTCTTATTTCTTTTTAAATGAAAACTTTTGAAGATTTAAAATGTGAAATTAATTTAAGTAATATAAATATAATTCATTTTTAATATCATCGTTAGCCAAACTTATTAATTCACATATGAAAATCCTTGAGTTCACCTTGTGCATATATTTATATATGTATATACATGAAAGCGATTTAAACATGATTTGTGTATATGTGTATATACACATATGTGTGTGTTTGTATGTGTATACGTGTGTGTATTTGTCTCTGTGTATATACACATGCTAGTTAGGATATATTTGACGTAAACGACCATTAGAAAGTCCAATATTTTTCGGAATATACGAAGATGAGTTTTAAAGATAAGGTATGTCCAAATTTCGTCCATTAATTAGGCTTTTTCTGAATTAGGGGAAAAAAAAGAAAGAAAACAAAAAAAATAAGAAAGAAGCATTCGTTTTTTGAAGACGCGTTTCAAAAATCGCTCGTTGTTTTCTTTTTTACGTTATCATTTTTTCCTTCTTAATTAGAATAAATAGTGCCATATATGTATATGTATATGTATATGAAAATATATGTACATTGACATATGTATATATATACATGCAAATATATGTACATTGACATGTGTATATATATATATATATATATATATATATATGAAAACCGATGACTCGATACGTAAAAATTATGGTAAATTTTTATACATTTAGATATAGTTTATCTTTTCCATCGGACGATTATCTCTTCTTCTACATTTTATTTTTTTACTTTCAGTATTTTTTTTTTTTTCCTTCTTTCGTCAATTATTCATTTAACATTAAACTCTTATATATATATTTATATTATATATATATATTTATTCATTAATCGTAATAAAATAAATAATCCCGTGCCAATCAAATGAGATAAAAGAAAAAGAAATAATTGCAAACAAAAGATATGTTCTATTAAAATTATTTCATTAAAATTGCATATACATACATACATACATACATATAATAACGATAAAACGAATTATATGAAATATATATGTATTTGTATTATCTTACATAAATAGAATTATCTCATTTGTATGAAAATATTAATCATTTGGTAATGAGAGTGAATTGTGTGACACTTTGTTTAAATGATTAATTAATAGAAAATCGAATGACGAGTCGTTTGTTTTTCATTAATTATACTAAATATATATACTCTTATTGTACACCGAGAGAGAAAATTCCATTTGCATATATCGAATGTTAATAACATATTGAACTGTGTGAAAGAAATACACACAACAACTACACACACACACACATACATACATACATACGCAAACATAGAGATACTCTTTATGAATTATTGTTTAAATTAATATTATATATCAACGAAAGCATCAAAATAGTTATTGGTCAATCGAAAGCCGAAAGCTTTGCATATAATATCCGTATTAATATATTTTCATTTATATTTTCATTTTTGTTCTATATTCTTGACATATATATATATATGTATATATACACATATATTTTAGGCATTGTACTTGAAAATTAATAGTGCAGTTTTTTGTGTATTTAAATCAAAAAAAAAAAAAAACGAAAAATCCAAAAAAAGATAAAGATTAAAATACAAAAAAAAAAAAAAGAAGAAGAAAGAAACAAATCGAATTTACCAAGTAACGAAAGCTAAATATGCTGATTGCTCATCAACTTCGTTGTAATTTAAATTAAAACATATTATATACATACAAACTCATAATTTTTTTTTTTTTTTTGTTATTTTAAGTTAGATATATATATATATACCTTGGAAAGACTTTTCTTGTTTCGATGAAGTATTTTGCAAGTTTGATAAAACGTCGAAAACATAAAAAAAAAAAAGAAAAAAAAAAGAAAAAAAAAAGAAAAACTTACTTTAGTTATATTCTGTGTATCTTACGTATTCCTTTAACAACGAATCATAACTATATTGATTGAGTTTCCTTAGCTTCTTTATGTGATATATTTAAACTTCTTCTACGTATATATATATATACATACACACCTACATTTAAAGCATACGGTCGAATATATATATATATATATATATATGTAACGTGTATGTTTGTATGATATTCATACATCGTTTAATAACTGGCTTTAAATTCATACGAATGAAAGTTGATTTTTTTAAGTTATAATAGCGTTACGTCCATTCTTATATGTCACAGTGTTTTAATTTTCTTTTGTTGTATTAATATTCGTATTAGTATTAATTTACGTTTTTCTTTCATTCTAATCATGTAAAGATGCTATTTATTTAATTAGGTCATAAGAGTCACCCGTAGGTAGGAAAATAAGAGATAAACATGTTGTAAAAATACAACTTTTTGTGTATGGCAATTCGCCAAGTGAAATTTTAGCATTTCCACTTTAGCTTATAGTATCGAAATCAGAGGATAATGACAACAAAATTATTATACGTTTAAGAGCTTGAAAAATATTTGTTCCGTTTATCCAATAAATAAGATGATATTTAGTTGAGAAAAAGAAACAAAAGTAATCCAATTTCTTTTTGCCAAATACATATATATGTATATGTATATATGAACCGTCGTCTATTTTAAAGGGGTGTAAGTCCACTTTCTTTTGTTTCGATAAAATAAAAGGTTTTCAATCAACTCAATTTCTTTTGCCGACCAATTTTAAATTGTACAAAACATCGACACTTTTTAAGATATTAAATATTAACTAGTTATCCACATACATAAAAAGTTTACATTAAATTAAGCATAAATTACGTGATATCTAATTTTTTTTTTTTTTTTAAATACCTGGACTTACATCACTTTCGAAATGAACGGTCCATATAATATTTCTTGTAAGATATACGTGTTAATTTATTTATAAATGTATTTCTAAAAAGCATTAGCGATTTGTATTCTTGCACCATATATATATATATGATTCTTTTTTTTTTTATTTCTAACAGACGAGAAACTTACAACATCTCTTGAAGGTGCAAGAATGATAATATATTTCGTATATGTGAAAAAAGAAAAAAAAAACTTATGCACTTGCGCGCGTTAGAGATTTTCCCCTTTAACGTCATTGTAAATATGAGTTTAAAATATATATTAAATTTAGAGAAACATTAAGTTTCTAGTCCCTCCTTTCCCTTACCCAATAAAAAGGATTGTATGAAAAATAAAAGACAAATAAAATGTATTATAGATTGTTGTCGTAGTTTATGCATCGTTTTTTGTCTCTTTGAAGCATAAAAATTAGTCGAATTTATTTCATCGTGATTTATTATTTTCTCTTACATTTTTTCTTTTTTTTTTTTTTCTTAATATTATATATTTCATTTCTTTTTTTTTTTTTTATATAGAAACTTACGTGTTATATTTCTATGACAAAAATATGCTTATACTTAAATAAACTCAATCAAAACGAGTCTATGCAAATATACATGTGTTTTTTTTTGTTTTTGTTTGTTTTAACAACGTAAAACGATATAATCTTTTTTTTCGTATTTCATTTCTGATTTGTTTATCGTTTAAATTTGATATAAATTGAACAAATGATAAATATACTTTTTTAATCAACCAATGAAGTTCATCACAACGATGTGAAGTATTATATGGGCAAATATGAAATCTGCAAATCCTCTTTCTGGACTTATTCCATAGAATTGACTTTTGTTTTGTGGATTAACTTGTAATCTTAGACAAACTGCAAAAGAAAAATTCATTTATCATAAACCTGTAAATTCTAATATAAGAAAAATATTTGTCATAATTTTTATAAACAGATTATAATTATATAATTGATGTTAATCATACCTCCTAAAATGAAACAAGAGACACATGAAATAAAACCACTTAGAAAACTATTAAATGGAAATGTGCCAACAAGACAGCAATACACAAATTGTATGACACCCGTCAAAAATACATAAAGTAAATAGGCATCAATTATTTTCAACTTTTTTGGTGTAGTTTTCGTATATTCTTGAAAAAACTTTCCGATAACAGCTAATGTCGACATTTTTAATGATATTTTTATCTATTTTAACAAAATATCTTGAAAAACACACAATAACCTCTAACGTTTCTGCGTGGCAGGGCCGGTTTCTGATACAGTTCAGATGGCGACACTAACGATTGCGAGCATGCGCAGTATCGAGTTTCACGCGCTAAATTCAAACGTTCGTACGAATTAACTTGTTTATTAGACACCATAATATTAAATGTGTTATTTATAAGAATAATAATAATGTAATATTAAATGTGTCTAATTTATAAGAAAATATTATAAACCATTTATTGTTAATCATCAAAATGTCGATATACATCAAAATGATTCGAAAAATATTTTATTTAAGATTTAGAAAAGTTGAAATTATCTACAAGTGAAATTAATTTTGAAATCATTAAATATCATTAAAAAGAACACATAGATATTTGAGGAAAAATCATCGTTCATTCATTATTTAACTTTGTCATTTATCTTAAATATACTTCTATTAGAAGTATTTGTTCGCAAAAGATGTTTAGGCGAAATATTATCGCAAGTAGATATTATTTTTTTCTTAACAGATATTGAAGATTTCGAAAAAGGTACAATCTTGTCAACTTCTTTTTTCGATTCAACTTTTTCCAAGACAAATTTACGATTCAAAGTATTACGATTTAACGTGCTGGATTCTAATGTTCGTGGTCGGGTTTTGATTACCGATGACGTGGACGAAATCGTATTGGATTCAGTTTGAATTACCTGAAATTGAAATAGTTTAATTTATAAATTTAAAAAATACACGAACAATAAAACGTATATATATAATGAAGAGTATAAAGTAACGATAATATAAAATACAAAATTACGGAATTAGTCGAACGTCTTTGTTGTCGAACGTTTTCTCTCTTCTCACATATTTCTGACCATCTTTTGATGGGATTACGATGGACCATTTCGAATTGAGGACAACCAAAAGATGCTTGAGAAAAAGAACTTCTCGAGGAAGTTGGCAATAAACGAATATTCGTTTGAGGAACGACCAATCTACTCGTTTGCCTCTGTTCGTTACTAAGAAAAGTATGCAAATGTATTTTTTTGGTGTATTATTCTTCGACTATCATTCGATCAAATCATTGGTCAAATTACCTTTTGTCCGAATTCTTGATCACGTTTACCGCGTGTTCGACGTTCGTGTTCTTTTTCAAAACTTGCGGTTGCTGAATATTCGTCGAAGGTGGTAAAATTTTGCAAACGTTACAGGAAGTGTTCGAAGTTTTTTGAACTTTCGAAGAATTCTTGACCTCCCCGTAAGATGCACTTTTGCTGTCCCAACATTTTTTATTCTCCTTTAACGGAGAAATAGCAACATATCCGGTTGATTTTTCGTTGGCCTTGGAATACGGTGAATATCTCGAAGGTGGTTTATACGTCGTTTCGAGACCGGCTGCGGTGGTTCTTTTCAAAATGACACGTCATATTATTGGAGTATTAATAAATTTCGAATAATTCACATTTAAATGAATTTTTTTGTTCTTACCTTATTGTTGAGGTTGTTGTTGAATATGATTGTTGTTTCATATGTTGTGGAATATATCTCAGCAATGATAACGATCCTGTATGACGTGCGTACAAAGCAGCAACTTGACGTGCTTTGTGTGATCTGATTATTAAATAAAAACAAACAAACATTAATCAATTAAAATTATTACAATTATTATCTAAGATTGTATAAGACAAATAATATGAAATATTAGTGTTCTCATTTATTATGAAAAGGATAGAGAGAACGTATACGTGTCGTGTATTTTGAAATTTAGAGATTTAAACGGGAAGATAAGAAAAGGATAAATCGATGTTTCGAGTGTTCGCGACACGTAGGCGGATTTAACGGGTCTCCTCGTAAATAAAAGAAAGTAAAAAATGAAAAAAGAAAAAATGTAAAGAAATAAATGCAATTTGAAGTTTACGATGAATGTTCATTCTTTACGACTGTCGTACTTGATATTGTACATGCCGCCTATTTCGCCGTACTTTCGTCGAATAATTTCCATCTCGATGGTGTTTCGATCCAGGTGAGTCATCTTGGATATCTCAGCGATGATCTGGAACAGTTGAAATTCATAGACCATGCGTCACTATCTTCTAAAATGTTTCATATTATTTACTTTTATTATACTATCCATATAGCATTGATTATAATGTATTTTAAAAATAATATTGGATGTATTTCAAAAGATTTCAAATATAAAATTGATTTTTATGGGTTTGTATTGCTGAATAAAATGAAAATGTATGAGATTAAAAATTAATAACATATTTATACATATATCAAAGAGCCATTAAATTATTTATCATCGAAAAAATAATAATATTACTGTCTTATGATCGGTCACATCCAAATCGGTTTCACTGGAGATTCTTGAAACATTCCTAAGCTTGCATGCGATCCAAGGATGATGGCAAAGTTCTTGAATCGTAATCCTTTTATGCGGAACGGGTGTGAGCAATTTGTTAATCAGATTTTTGCAATCATTCGACATCCTCGACATGTTTTTCACTTGCAGGGCCGTTAAGCCGCGGTTTATTTGAGCCATTAACCTTCGCCGACGTTCTTCTGATGACGTTTGTTTGTCACAAGGACTTAAAAAGGGTAGCCGACCGGTCATCATTCCGTATAAGACGACACCTCTGATCGATATTTCAATCGATATTTTATTATTTAAGATCATTTTAAATATATACACGAACTATATTCTATATACATTTTCTCGAATACAATTTTATTTATTTTTAAAACGTTTTAAATATTCAAATATTTTATGATTTTTATCAATTTATATACGAATGATACGAATGAAAAATAAAATTAGATTTGATGTGAGTTTATTTTTTTTTTTTTTTATTTTGGAATTCTTACGCCTGATCGTAGGCAATACTTTATACCTCGTTGATAATTTTTACTACGAACAAATTTTGTCGGTAAAGAAGTTATTTAAGTTATCCTATGAAATATATTGTGAAACTTGTTATAACGAGTTGCATAGTAAAAGGCGTAATTGATGCATTATTGCCTATCTTCTAACGCAAATTTCATTTTTATTCTTTAATAGTCTTGAAATAATAATCTTTTGCATTTTAAATATTACAATATTGATTCGAGAAAAGGTAATTTATGTAATAGAAAAATTTGAATATTGAAATTTTACTCACAGACTCCAAAAATCAACTTCAGGACCATATTTTTTACCAACGACGAAAAGTTCTGGTGCTGCGTATTCCGGTGATCCGCAATGTGTTTTTAAAGGATCTTCGCAATGATAGATGTTACTTAATCCAAAGTCTATTCAAATAAAAACAAATATTTATTTTAATATAAAGAAATATTCTAATTTGATGATTAACATTATATATTTATATGTTATTCACTTACCAACTATTTTAATTTGATCTTTCCGAGAATCTTGTAGCATTATGTTTTCCATCTTTAGATCTCTATAAATAAATATAATAATAAATGATTATGATGATATTATGATACATAGAAGATTCGAAATATTGATAATTGAGGTATAAATAAGTAAAAAATATTATTAAATATTATTAAAAAATATTATTATTTATACATTTATTATATATATTTATTATATTTATTAATATTTATATTTTTATTATATTATTATATTTATTATATTATTTATTATTATTATTATTATTAATTAGTATTAGGAATTCGAAAGTTCATTGCCGCAAAGACCAAATCCCGATATTATTTATTATATTTATTATTTAATATTATTATATATTTAGCGTTTCGAAAAACTATGTATTTTTGAGTTTATGTAACTCTTTTGTATTTTATAGTTGCCAAAGAAGCCCTAATAAAATGACGAAACGTTTAACATTATCAAAACAAATATGTTCTAATTTTTTTTTTACCTATCCAAATTATCCACGATACAAAGTTTTTATATAAATGATTAAACTTTATTATTTTTTAAATGTAATTAATTTTTTTAATATAAAAAAATCACTCGACTTCGTATATACAGCACAAATCACAATTTAAAGAAAAAGTGAAAGAAAAAGAAATGAAATCAAGAAACAAATGGAAAACGAATAATCATCGTGTACGTACCAAATATCATACATCATTATTATATTCTCATCTCTCCTTCGTGATAAATAATAATAATAAAAATAATAATAATAATAATAATAATAATAATAATAATAATAATAAGAAAGAAAGTAAAGCTATATTCAACGGGAAAAATAACTAAAATACAAATCCAAACGCACAGGAAGGCAGGCAGGCAGGCAGGCACACTTACACTTACACACACACACATATATATACACACATTCACATATCCATAGAGACATACACATATACAAAGATGAAGAATCTTTCGGTTCGTATACCTTTCGGCCCTGATCTTACATAGCGCACTGGATTTTATTTGCTCGTGTCCGGTCACTCTCCTGATGCGTTCTCGCAGACCTTGTAAGTCGCAACCAACGGAGGATGGAAAATAAAATAAAGGATAAATCGAGAGAAAGAGAGAAAGAGAGAGAGAGAGAGATAGGGAGGGGGGACGATATCAAGCATGGTTGACCTCGACTTCGGTTGTTGTTCGATTGAACAAAATAGGATATGGAAAAAGGAGGTATATACTTATGAAGAAAATGCTGAAATTCGGTTGTTGTACGATTGAATAAAATAGGATATGGAAGAAGTACTATACTTTCGAAGAAAATGATCAAATTCAGTTGTTGTTCGATTGAACAAAATAGAATATGGTGGAAGTACTATACTTTCGAAGAAAATGTTCAAACGATTGTATTATATTAAATGAAATGGTTAAGTGAACTTTGAGTTTTGAATGAACTCAGGAAAAGCGTACGCTTTCGTAAAGAGAAGTAAAAGATCCAGAAGTTGTAAAGGGAAGGAAGGAAGGAAGGAAGGAAGGGAAGAAGGGTAGGATTTAAAAGGAAATATCGATCGATCGAAAAAGAAGCTGTCAACGAGTGTAATAACTCGACTTCGATGTTTAGAATGTGTTCGAAAAAGTTCTACCGTCGTCATTGCGTCGTTTCGTCTTTTGCTCGTATCAAAGACCCCGAGAAAAAGTAAGAAAACAAAAAAGAAAAATAAAAAGAAAGAGAGAGTGAGAAAGAGAGAGAGAGAGAGAGAGAGAGAGAGAGAAAGAGACCTTGAAACGCATCATTAAAATCGCATCGTCGAGCGAAACACCGTGCAGCACACACTTTGGGTTCTCGCTAATAAGTAATAAAAGAGAATGCTCGCGTATAACACGTGCCCGCGGCTCTAAGATCTTCTCAGATTCGAAAGAGAGAGAGAGAGAGAGAGAGAGAGAGAGAGAGAAAGAGAGTGGGATTACTGCGTTGTAACAACATTTTTACACCCACGGGTGCAATCTCTTTTAAACGAACACCAACAATAACTACGAAAAATTACTAAATAAAAATTAAATATTATAGTTTGGTGTTTTATTTGGTGTCTATCGAAATCATTTTCTTTTATTTATTTATTTTTTTTTTTTTTAACAACTACTTATTAAGGGTCTTCATAACTTTCTAATTGATATCTGTTAATAATATTCTAGTATTTATATTTATTATACGTATAATATAATATTGTATTTATATACTTAATATATAAAATAATATAATAGAAATATATAATACTTATAATATATTATTATACTTATACTTAAAATATATAAAATAATATAATAATAATATATGTAATATAATATATAATACACTTATAATATGATATTATATTTATTTTTATAATTATATATAAAATTTAAAAATAATAGGAGAAAATAATGGAAAGGGTAAAAACAAAAAAAAAAAAAATGAAAAGTTTAGTTGTTATTGCAAGGATTGAGCAATCGATCTATCATATCTATCATATCTATTTATCGATGAATCGATCGATATAAAGTAAAGCAGGAGGTGGAGGAGTTTGTTCTTGGGAGTGCAAGAGACTTTCTCTCTCTCTCTCTCTATCTCTCTCTCTCTCTCTCTCTCTTTTTCAGCATCGGCTGAAAGTCTCGAACGATGCACTCTTCTGCATCCTTGGCGGCAGGATAATAGTTGAAACGACCCTGAAACCGAGGCCACGGTTGTTCGTTGGCCTGGACGATTATATTTCTTTTTCCAGCTTCGAACTTCTCTTTCTCCTTCTCTTTCTCTTTCTCTGTCTTTTTCTTTTTTCAATTTCTTCCAGCAATTTTTTTTGTTTTATTTATTTTTTTTTTTTAGATTTTAAAGGCACGCGTGTGTGCCTACCAGACTTTTTGATACATAATATTACGCGAATATCGTGCTGGATTATAACGATTCTTATCGGCTAAACCGTTTGTCCGCCTACTTCGAATATAGGTGCTTACTTATGTATATAACTATCTCTCTCTCTCTCTCTCTATTTTTTCATGTATATATATATATATAATATATAATAACTACCTCTATATTATAAAATTATATTCTCTGCGTCTTTTCCCTTCTCCCTCGCTGGCTTTAATTTTTCTTTTTTTTTTTTTTTTACCTATTTCTTTTTCATTCCTTTTTATTTTTTATATTTGTTGTTTTTGGTTTCATCATTTTTTGGTTCGCATTTGTGATCTCGTTTTCTTTTTCATATAATAAATATTTATTAGACAATAAAATTATATTCCATCTCCTTCGGAGGGCCTATCTTTCTCTCTTTTTCTTTTTTCTTTTTATGTATTGGGTTGGCAAGAAAGTAATTTCGCGGTAGTAAGTAAATATATATATATATATATATTATTATATTATAAAATAATATAAGTATTTTTATATAATATTGGCTTGGCAAGAAAGTAATATTTCACACTAGAAAACCGAAATTACTTTCTTGCCAACCCAATATATTTAAGAAATAAAATTAAGTATACTTACAATAATAAAATTACATTTAATCTATCTAAATGAACGATCTATCTTATTAATTTTTTTACTTTCATTTTCTTGTTCTTGTTTGATCATTTATTTTATTATCTACTTCCTCCTCCTCATCCTACTTCTCCTCCCATACTTAATATTACCTGCACGAAATATCCAATCAGTTCAATTTTGTTCTATTTAATATACTCTTCTTTTTCTTTTTTGTATTTTATCGACTTGGACAGAAAAATCGTGTACTTTTCGTTAATTAATCGACCCTCACGCCAAAAGTCATGTTCGTGAGTTTTGCAAAAACGATTTGGTCCGATATCTTAATTAGCTTTCTATCTCTCTCTTTCTCTTTTATTCTTTCTCTTTTTTTTTTCTTTTTCTTCTCTATTCTTCTAGGATCATAAATATACATGAGACATGGGTTCGTTACGTAAATCGATTTCGGGGTATAGAACGACGACTATCGTATTTGCTTTTTACCTTGTAAGTTCTTTAATAGTCCATCACGATGAGTGAAAGCTTTATACGAACGAATACAAATGTTCATTTTGGTTCGAACAATTTTTAAACAAAATCATATACGATAAAAATAATGATATTTGCAAGAACATCTTTTGATTTATAATGACAAATTGAAATAACATACTTTGCTTTCCCCTTTTCCCGCCGTAAATTGGTTAGCCAGTAAAGTATCTCGTTATATCTTACGAGTTGAATGATTTAGTTCAAAATAAATCTAAGAGATGGCACTAACGTGTCAGTTTTTTCAAAAAATTTTCTCAACCCATTCGAGATCACTTGCACACCTTGTATGCAATCATACTTATTACCTATTATTAATTATTTTGAATAAAGTATACATCGAAATAAAACTTTTTTTTTTTGTATAAATAGTATCTTTAAAGTATAAAAAACAAAATTTGATATTGTAACATTGGTAATATAATAAAACAAAAAAGAAATGGCTCCTTGAACCGTGTCCGAAAAAAAGTCGTGGTCACGAATGCAATTGAATGCATTTATGTAGATCAAAGAAATTACTAGTGTTTCTTATATGAAATTATTATTAAATAAATAAATATATAAATAAATAAATATATAAATAAATAAATAAATATATAAATAAATATATAAATATATTTATACTTAGAATATTTATATATTTATATATTTATATTTTAATCATCTTCCTCTGTTTCTTTCTAATTTAATATCGATAGTAATTCACTTGAATGGGTTGATGCAATTGAATGCATTTATGTAGATCGAAAAAACCACTCTTGTTTCTTATATGAAATTATTGTTAAATAAATAAATAAATAAATAAATAAATAAATATTTATATTTTAGTCATCTTCTTCCCTTTCTTTCTAATTTAATATCGATAGTAGTTCAATGTTGCATTCGCGTGTAAACGTTATAAGAAAAAGAAAGTATAAGAGATTAAAAATAAGAGACAGAAGAGTAAATGAGTGAATGAGAGAGAGAGAGAGAGAGAAAGAAATAGGGAGGATCTGTTTACCTTCTCGCGTTTGCATCGT